ATACGTATACCAATTGTCCAAAGCGAATGCAATTATTATGTACCACAAACATGTACCAATAAAAATAAATTAGTAAAAATAAAATTGTATGTTTTAAATCAAAACATTGATGTAAATGTCTTTTCTAAATGGGTTACTTAAAAATGAAATATTGAGTGTTCTATTTAAACTAATATTTTTAGCAATTACCTGGAATTAGTTTTTATTCCACAAGAATTCCTATCTCCTTCGACATACGTGCTCCGCAGTTGCTTTGCGCACTGACAACGCGCTCACCGTCTGAGTTATACCGAACTGCTTTTCCCCGGAGGACCCTGCTTGTAGACTCACGAAGTCTGTGGTGTGATGGTAGTCAGCGCGCTGATTTTCCCCTTCTGTACTTTCTGCCCCCTTTGTTTGAGGAAAGCCCAGCTCAATTCATTTCTGAGCCCTCAATTAATTCCCATCACTGTCATTTCTCAGCAACCCTCAGAGCTTTCTGTCATAACAACTAATGGGGCCGTAGGGGGAGAATTGGGAAGCCCCCTCATGCTCCCAGGGCAAGGCAGCTTATGCAGAAACGCTGTAGAATGTGGAGACTGTAGCCAGTACAAGGCTCCTAAGATTTGTCTTAGCCTCAGTTTTCCAGACCTGAGACCCGAGAGGGACCTTCATCAGCCACGTTAAAGAGCTGTTTTGCACTTCTGGATTTCAGTGTCTGTTATGCCCCATAATGGTTTTATGAGCTTATTTGCTCGCTTGCCGGTTGTTGTCCACCTTTGCTGAGTCTGAGCTACACGGCGGCAGGCACCACGCTGATCTTAAATACTCCTTTATCTCACGCACCCAGCATGGTACCTCAAACGTGATGAGCTGAATAAATGTTTCCTGATTGAATTCGTCTAGTTGCATAGCGATACCCCTGCGAGGTACAGAGCGGGCAATAACCTGAAGATAGCAAGTACCTGCAGTCGAAGGGATGAAACAGCGCGCCTTGGCTTTCGGCGCCACTGGCCCGCATCTTTTCCACTATGCTATTTTGCTGATGGAGATATTCCAGATTCCAGGCACAAAAGCTTTATTTAGGTGCCACAGAAGATGAATATGACCATTAAAATGTAATAATAATGATAGGAGAGAGAGAGAGAGAGAGAGAGAGAGAGAGAGAGAGAGAGAGAGAGAGAGAACAAAAAAATACTGGGCTAAGGTAACATAGGCTAAAATTTTTTTGGGAAAAATATCTCAGTAGCTAATTCCAAAAATAGTCTTTGCCTAAGATAAAATCATTGCTGTGATGGTGCCTCTAAGCAATACATTAGCTTGGAAACACCCGCATTGCTCCAAATGTGTCAGCATTGAAAAGTGTGGCTTTCTGAAATTTTTCTTAATTTATTAGAATCTAATAATCATAGAACACATCATTTTGCATTTGGCATAGAATTATGTTTTTACCACGAACATTCATTCAGCTATATAACAAGGAATAATTGTTCGATTAACATTATTCTTTCTGAAGAATGCAATGTTTATTCATGTGTACTTGGCGAATGAATTCTTTATAAGTGCATTAGCAAGATGGGGAGAGATAAAATCTTTGAATTTTTGAAAGATAGCTGCATAAACTAGTTGAAAAAAGAATTGAGGTGGTGGTGATTATCAGCAATTTGCAAAACATGATGGATATTCTGAATGAAATGCATATTTGGGCATAGAAGTACCTATAATAATTTTATCAGATGAAAGACAGAGTAAGCTGGAATGCCATTTTTTTAATGACCAGTCAGCTTATCAGTTAAAAAATAGCTTCACATTATATTGGGTTTCTTTAACTTCTTCATTTATTGCATAAATGTGCTCTCAAGGATAACTGACTTAAAAAAAGAATCTTTAGGAAAATGTAGACAACACTGCCAGAACTTCTGAGTAGTACCAGTTCTTTTTTGTGTCTCTTGTTCAAATCAGGGTGCATCTGATTTAGACAGATGTACTGGTGTGACATGACTTCTTTTTCAGTTGAGCTGAATTAGAGTGATCTTCCCAATGAGTAGGAAAGACACTGTCAGAAAGCTGGAAAGTATGTCAGTATCACAATTGTGACATAATTACAGTGGGACAAGCCTTACAATATCATTAAGTCAGCATCTTTCTAGCATCACTCTTGAGAAGGCATGAAATGGCACTGGCCTCTGATGCTATCATTTAGCCATGGAAATAACATACAACGGAATATAAAGGCCTGTGTAATGAGGGCTTGCAGTGCTATTTTCCGTCGAGGTTAAGCACATAGTTCTAAGTGTGGGTATTTTGTATAGCGCGCATGTAAGAGAATTTGAAAACATCAAAGTGACCCTTTTTCAAGAGACCCCCCCAAAACAATTAATTGCACCATTGCAGGAACATTGTTAAAATTATTGATCATGAAATACACAGTAATTTTATGTACATTAATTAGAATCTTTTATCTAATTTTCTGTTTTCTCATGCTCTGAGAAGAAGTAGATGTGGATAATATAGAGAAGTGATGTATACACTTAAAAATATAGTTCTAGAGGTTTAAGTTTTTGAAAGTTAGGAAAGACTAAAATGGAATCCATCCTGGGCTTCACTAGACTATGAAACCTGGGTCACTTGTCTTTCAGGCCTGGACCCACACGCACATTGAAAATACTCTAATGAAAAGCATATCTATCCTTAGGATGACTTCTAATGCTTTTGTCTCTAGGGTCAGAGGTGATTGATCTTGATGGAAAAAGTTCTCTTCTCTACAAATTTGATCAAAAATCCCTGAGCCCAATAAAAGATATTATTTCCTTGAAGTTTAAAACCATGCAGAGCGACGGAATTCTACTCCACAGAGCAGGGCCAAGTGGAGATCATATTACCTTGGAATTAAAAAGCGGAAAACTCTTTCTACTTATCAATTCAGGTAAAAGTGTTGGGGAGGTGTTTAAAAATCTGGTCATTTGCTTATGGCTTAGGTACTTATATACTTTTATACTTTTTTAAAAAATAAGTAGGCAGGGCCACCCAGGTAGCTCAGCAGACTAAAGTGCCCACTTGGACAGATGCAGGGGCCAGGGGTTTGATCCCTGACCTGCAGACTGGGCGTGGTGGTACATACCTATGATCCCAGTGCTTGGGAGGCTGAAACACAGGAGGTTCACTAATAGTTCAATCTGTGTGGTGAGGCTCTGTAGACTATGTACTAAATACATTAAAAATAATTAAATAAAAAAGTAGGTGTCTTATTTTCAGATTCAAAGGCTTGACTGCATGCCATTATTGCTCTTTTGTGTTAAAATGGCTCATATTTTGTGAACTGTATATGAATCTCAGGGAATTCAGCCCGCCCAACACACACACAGCTTTATAGAGCTATATGGCTATTTTCTAGCATTATAAAGAAAGGGACGGGTCATTGAAAAATATCACAGTAGTAAAAATAATGAGGTTGTAGCAAGGATAAAATTTACATAGAAAATGAGCATGGTAACGGGTAATAATAATAAAATGAATTAACAGTGGAAGAAATTACAGCAAGGTTGAGAGATCATTATATTCAAACGTCAGGTAAATCCATACTAATGTTCGGGATGGGATGCGTGAAAGAGCATTGTGAAATTATTGTAAAAGATGCTGGTCCGCAAAAGGACAACTTATTTCTTTTTTCTTTTAACTGGGAATACTTATGTTTTTATTTTCCTCCTTCTGCAGGTGTAGCTAAGCTGTCCCCCACTCACAGCATGATCAATTTCACCCTGGGCAGCCTGCTGGATGACCAGCACTGGCACTCCGTGCTTCTCCAACGTCTGGGCAAGCAGGTCAACTTTACAGTGGATGAACACCGGCACCGTTTCCACACACAGGGAGAATTCAATTACCTGGATCTTGATTATGAGGTGTGATGCTTACATTTCAATTAATACACGTATTATGATGTATGTGCGGTTTTACTTCCCAGCAGAAAACACGCTACAGAGAATGCACCTTTGTGGTAAATCACAAGGCCAGCGAAGCTCACCCGGTGTGGACTAATGGGTGGGTGCTGCCTGAGGTGTCATTCTTCTCACAATATGTACCTTTATTATCATGGTGTAGGATCATCCTTTCTACCTCATGTATGTAGCTGCAGCTCTTCATAGCAGAAAATTTCCCTACAGATATATTTCATTATTATTAGCAAATGTAGAATGTTTTGCATCATTTCTTTGTGTTACAGGGTACTTGTGAACAGTGAAGATTTATGGGGAGAGTGTAGCAATAAATATTAATGAACTCATTGCCAATCAATGCAGATACACAAATACCAATGTCCACTAGAAATTTACACAAGATGAGACATCGTAACTAGTTACAAAATTAGACGGGTCAGGTTTTACCATGGAGATAAAAATGTATTTTTCTTCCTGAGGCGATAAATATCAAAACCGGATGTGATGAGCAACTTGTGTGGACTGTCAAGCTCTTGTGTGGATGAAGACCGAATGCACATATATTTGTTTTAAAGTTTGTACCTTAATCTTTTCCAATGCACAGTGATGAAAACTTGAGTTGTGTGTGATGAGTACAACTATAGTTGCCGATCATAAATGACTTAAGCAGATTATCGTAACATCACTAAACAATAATATTGATGCCACTTTTCTTTCTAAGATCAGCTTTGGAGGGATTCCAGCACCTTCAAAATCAGTGTCTCCCCCACTTAACAATTTTCATGGATGTTTAGAAAATCTCTATTACAATGGAGTGGATATCATTGATTTGACCAAGAAGCAAAGCCCACAAATCATCATTATGGTAAGAGTCCTCATGGGATGGAACCAGCGAAAATACAAGCATTTCTACAGTGAAATTGCTCGTCTATAGTTTCCCATATGATGTGATATTTTAGAGATTGCTCATATTTAAATTTTTTCTCTGATTGGCAATATGCATAAAAAGGGATTAGTTCTATTTAAAGTAATCTTAATTCTCGGAAGATAATTTTACTCATATGAAGTAAAGCCACTACTTCTGGCAGTTGATATTTTAATTTTGTTGTGATAGTACTACTCCCAGGCAGCTAATTTCTTTTTGCTTTGTAATTTCCTTAATAAAATATTCCCTGACCAACTCAGCTGACGAGCACATGCAGTTTGCAGAATCAACTAACATGCATGTCTATTAGTGTTATATTGGAAAAAACTTGTACTTTGCCACGGTCACTCATAGCAAAATGAATCAGTCATTACAAGGCTGCATCTGTCAATCTGCTGGAACAGTAGTGTTGCTTGGACTCATTAGGTTCTGGCTGATGGAAGCATGGTGGGACTAAAGCTCACTGCTGGTCATTGTTCAGTCAGAAGAGCAGTGCCAGGGTGTGCACTGGGAGCAGGGGGCCTCTCTTGGGACTTAGATCTTAGCCATCGCTGGAGGAGTGTGGAGGTGAAGGCCCGGCAAGGGAAGGTGGGAGGTGAGAAGCACCACTCATTGAGACTGCTGTTATGGTGTGTGTAAGTGGTAGACTTGGTAGAGCATTTTCAGCCCATGGAGGCACTTGTCTGAGGGGTCTCTGGGCCTTGTAGCCACTGGGGAGCGTTGCTTCAGGGACCCCTAGCCAAGCATCTGAGGGGGTAGGTTGGCACTCAGCAGAGCCAGCCACTGGGGAGAACAGATGATCCGGAATGGAAGAGCCAGAGACAGAGGCATAAAGCAAAGCTCAGTGGGATAAACCAACAGATCCTTCCTTGTGCATAAACCCTAGGATCCCTTTGAGCAGAAAGGCTAGTGTTTACCTCTTTTTCAGCTAACTTTTAACCAAAGAGCTTATGCAGAAGAAAATTCTGGGAACTATAATTTCCAACAGTGCCAATTTGATAACAGACAGCAGGCCTAAATTGATTTTAATTAATTTTTCATTGCTTAAAATTCAAAATATGTAAATTTAAGCTCATGTTGCATCAGATAGTTCCCGAACACATCAAAATATTTATTACCAGAGAAGAATTTCAGCCCTAATTCTCTCTGAATTGGTGATATATTTTTTATGACCATAACAGCCAGCAAGATTTTGAGGTGATTTTTTATAAAAGGAAAAATAATTTAAAAGGCAAATGAAAATATTACAGATAGATGTGTATGTATGTTTCATCTTACAAAATGAATTTCCAGAAAATGCTCCTACACCTTCCTTGGCAAGAGGATACTCTCTGGTAGAGTAGCAAGCTGTCCAAGGAAGCCCAAGATCAACCTGCAGTGGGTAACATGTCTTCATTTTCACTGGGTTTCATAGTCTTAGAATCACTCCTACATTGTGGGTTAGTGCCCAAGTTGGCATTGTTTTCTCTTCAGCTTTTGTTTCATTGACTGGAACACAACAGTGATTGACAATAAAAGTGATTGATTATAAAAGTTAACTCACTTTTAATAGACTCAAAATATGGTCAAATATTTTAGTGTGGCCAAGACCATGTGTTTTCCTTCCAATGTGTGTTCTTCTAAATGAAGTCTATCTCACTGATTTTTTTCAAATGTATATCAAAGCCAAGAAATGGAGAAAAGACCAAAGAAAGTTGTGGAAGAACCTTTAAGATACACTGTGTTGCAAGGATTTGGATTTGCATGGTGATAGGAAAATGTTTTAAATTGAGGATCAGGGAAGATTGATAAGTAGCATTCATGAATATTTCAAGTTCTATAACTAATGGGCTGTGAGTGACATGCTGAAACCTTTTCCTCTTACTTTATCCTCAGGGAAATGTGTCATTTTCTTGTTCACAACCACAGTCTGTGCCCCTGACTTTCCTGAGCTCCAGGAGTTACTTAGCACTGCCAACCTTTTCCACTGAGGAGGAGATATCGGTCAGTTTTCAATTTCGCACCTGGAATAAGGCAGGACTTCTTCTTTTCAGTGAACTGCATCTGGTTTCTGGAGGTCTCCTCCTCTTGCTCAGTGATGGAAAACTTAAGCTGAATCTCCATCCACCAGGAAAATTACCCAGTGACATCACAGCAGGTAATAAATGTAGTCCCGCAGGCAAAGCATATGGATTTGAAAGATTTCATTATCTCCACGTCCCTTCTCCACAAATTTTATGCATAACCAAAAAATTAATATTTGTTTAATAAATGAATACTTGAGTTAATAAGATTATCAGTCCTCTTCCTTAGAGGAGGTTGATTCCAATTTCCTTTTAAATATGATCCCAACATTTGCAGTTCTCATTAACCAACATGATAATAATGGGGGACAGAAACTTTCTCCCATAACCCTTCTCTCCCACTTAGACAAACCAACAGCATATTTGGAGAAAATAGGTATGGAAAAAAATGCGAAAGATCTTGAAATAGCTTGATAAGTTAGCTGGGTGTCTCAATTGGAAACTTGACTTTGCCAAATATAGTTATTGTCTCTTCGTGTCTTTGGGACAATGGATGACCTCTTTCTAGAATTTACATATCATTACATTAGCATGTAACATGAAACTTAAATAATCAGCCCACTTAGTTTTCTGTAGTGTTGCATACATTTGGGGGGAGGCAGAAATGTTTACAAAGTTACTTATTCGGGGCAGCAGTTGGAATTCTTTCCACTTTTAGGCAATATGTTATCATTTTAATGATTAGAAGTAATATAATTAAAGTGATGATGTGAGAGTCTAGAAAATTAATGTCCAATCTAGGTCAATGCTTTGAGTGAGGGATATTTTTGTCTCTTCATTAAAATTATACAGTTCTCAAGAAGGGAGCTCATCACAGTTTAACATACGTAGAGTAGCATTCAAGCCTGGCAATTAGAGGTCACACTGGGATAAATTTCTACATTAATGTAACAAATGATCTTTAAAAATAATTTAAAGATGCTGTTGTACTGCTTCCCTGCATTAACAATGAATGAAAATTCATAGATTATGAGTTGGAGAGGATAAAAGGTAAGAGATGGTTGAAAATTAATAAGAAAACAAGTACGGAAGTGGATATGCAAATGCCTTTCCCCATGCTTTATTGTAATGTTTATATTACCACAGTTCAAATACAGGAGCAGGAACTTCACTCCTAATTATGGTGTTTAGTAGATAGTGTTCTATGGCATTTTATGTAATGCTCAACGATGTAGACTGGCAGGCATGACAAAAGGAAATAAGTTAATCTTTGTCAGATTAATAATTAATAGGACCCTAAAATGAGTATCTAAAAATGTAAACCTGCCATTAGTGTGAATTGTGCTGTTTTTCTCATCTTCTGAAGTGATGATATTCACAACCTAACTTTCAACATCTTAAAGAAACTGTTTCTATCCGAAGCTATTGTATTCACCCTGTGAAGCAAATTCAATTCTAACCAATTTACAGAAATGTATGGTTAATAAATTACTAGGTGTAAGTGTGTAATATAATATCCCAGGTGCCTCGAATGTCTCAATGGATGGTTAAATTCATACACAATATAATCTGTTATGACATCATATGACTTCATCTAATTATTTTCATAGCTAACAAAGAGCGTATGAATGTCAATATAGCAAAATTGTTACAGTCCAGATAACAGCAGCAAGCCTTTGCTTACCAACCTTCTCTACTTAAATGGTAATTGGGAGAGTGGTCAGGTTGTTCTCCCACTAGGCAAAACTTTTGTGCTTCACTTGTACAATGTTTGATAATTAAATTCATTGTCATTATAATGACTCTAAAGAAAATCATGTAATTATTGTAGATTGCTATTATATTATACTAAATCCTTCCTTTACAGCAGGATGGGTTTAATTTTTTTTTTTTGGCTACTGGGTTGATAAATTATTAATTTTAAAAGTTTGAAAAATTCAATGATTTTTTTTGTCTTTCATGATGGATAATATTAAATTACTTCGAGAGAGAACTGAGGCATGTAAATGTTTTAAATTATTAGTTTCAATACTTCATGTATAGTTTTGAAGATTATCATTTGGAATTATTCAAAACTACTATGTCACCCTAAATCATTTTTGATATTTTGTTGATACTGTATTAACCTAAATTATGAAACTTATTAGCGGTACTCTAAAATCCTTCAGGATATAAAATATTTTCATTCCTTATCATCTTTAAAGACATCAAAGCCAAACCATTCATCCTGAATCAAGGGTCCAGGTGAACAATACAATAATATTTTTCTATTTAAAGAAAGCCTTTAATTGTTGCCTTAGTTACTGTTCTTGTTGCCACCACAAAATGCACAATACTCAGAAGTGAAGAGAGGAAAGGTTTTAGCCCAGAGTTTGTAGAGGTTTCACAATAGGGGGTGCAGGTGGCAGACAGACCTCAAAGTGGAGAAACAGCACGTGGTGGGCAAAATGTAGCAAGGCCACAAGGGAGGACCACAACTCTTTCTATCTCTTGTACCTTTTTTTTCAGTGTTTTTTTTTTTTTTTTTTTTAATGTATTTTGTACAGAGTCTCACTACGTAGCTCAGACTCATAGTGACCCTCTTGTTTTCAGCCTCCCCAGTGCTGGGATTACGGGCATGCGCCACCACACCCAGACTCTATGTCCAGCTCGGCAGGCCAGGGCATGTCCAGCGAGGCCCGTAGTGCTGAGGATTGAACCGCAGTCCTCAGCAGGCGCTCATTCCCCTGAGCTACCTCCCAGGCCCTTATCTCTTGTATGTTCTCCAGGCTCCCCAAGGCAGGTAGCGCTCACACCCTTAATCCTGGTGCCCCTGAGCCTAGCATTGCACCCTGAAGCAATCCCAGCCACACACCCTGGATGCAGCTGTTTCTGAAACACTGCCCCCCATGGCTGCATGAGGCCCTGGGGGGACATACAGACATAAACCATAACAAGTGTAAAATTTGAAGTTTCTGCTATGATTTTAGCATTCTGCTACAACTTTTGCCTACCGGTAAAAATCAGGGTTGCAAACAAGACTCTTTCCCAAGGCAGCACCTGGCTGAGTCAGGTTGCAGGAGGCGATCTTCCGCTGCCTTTTCCATTGACAGGGCTTTGGGGATTCTGTGGCCCTGGTGGCGATGGAGCAGCTCACTTGGTTTTCTTTCTCCAGGAAAAGACACATTTAAAAAAAAAAAATCTTTTCATTTTAGGGAAGGGTTTACAGGGTGTCCAGGGTCTCACTACTAGATTGGACTCTAGTGAGTCCGCCTGTTTAGAGCTGGCATTACAGGCGCCACCACGCCCAGTCTCAATCGCCATCTCAGCGCGCCCCGCGGGGCGGGGCTGGCACGACAGGCCTGGGGATCGAACCCCGGCCCCAGCACCTGCTTGCAGGCGCTTTAATCCACTGAGCTCTGGCCGTTCCCAGAAAAGACACATTTTTAACTCCTCTCTTCCTTCCATTCACTGCCGGACTCTTCCTAGATGGAAAACTTTAAACCTATCACCCTCAAAACTCCTGCTGTCCCCTGAAGTGATCAGAACCAACAACCCCCATGTCTTCATTTTCACAAGAGCTATGAGTGGTCTGCGTCCTTATCACTGCTTGGTGACTATAGCTAGTAGAAAGAGTTTCTGGTACTTTCAGTAAAGGTGCTTGGGACAGAGGGACAAGCCTTTGGTTACTCCTCAAGTGAGGACCTACGTATAATAGCCTTAGGCACCTTCACAGAGAGCCTACCCTGAGCATCAGGCTGTTTTTCCTTAAAAATCCTTATGCATCATAACCTTGGCAGGCCTACTGTAGTCATTTTTATAATTTATTTTATTTTCAAGAGTAAAAACAAAGCCAAAAAAAGAAAAAAAAGCAGATGCAAAGACAGAAACAGGGTAACATACAACAGTACATATGTTACAGATTTTCAAAAACAAGAATAGAAAATGAACAATGGTTATTATATTACCTATATTTATAGTCTTTTGAGAGAATAGTGGCAGCTAGGTTGTCATAATGTTTCTTTCACAATTTAGGACCCATTCCAGGGATTATCTACAAAGAGCAGATTTAAACTTTTCTTCCTGCTATATTCTTTGTGTTTATGGTTTGATCCAGAGAGATAGGGGGATATAAGGAACACAGATAGATAGATAGATAGATAGATAGATAGATAGATAGATAGATAGATAGATAGTATACATAGGAGTGTGTGTGTATATACAGGTGTTCTGGTCTACAATTATATCCTCTTCTATTATCTTCATATCCTCTTCTATTATCTTCAATTTCAAACACTTCCATCTATTATTCCCTCTTTCCATTTGTAGTTGTCAGTGTTTTCCAGCAAAGACTTGAGTGAGGATGTAGAGTTTGAACAAGGTAGTTTTATTGCTTGTTGCAGCAGGAGGAACACACATGCATTGACCTTGGGGTTCATCTCAAAGCAAAGATGGTAAGAATGACTTATTACAGTAGTTTGTACTGTGTTCACTGATTCAGGCTAAGTTTTGAGGAAGCAAACAATGGCTGGGATTAAACTTTGCCTGGAAAAGTATGGGTTATTCTGTGATTAGGGCTCTGTGTAGGCCTTACCTAGTAAGATAGTGGATGTAATTGCCTGAAACCAAAGCGAAACAAAACAAAGAAACCAGTGGTCTTTCATATTATCCAGAAGGGGAAATATTTTGGTATAGAGGACAATTTTGCTATTATTATTAAAATATTTATTTATTTGGAACAGGGTCTCACTACACAGCTAAGACTCATAGTGATCCTCCTGTCTCAGCCTCCCCAGTGCAGAAATTACAGGTGTGCACCACCACTTCCAGTTTTGGTGGCTGGCACAGTGTGCTTGGTGGTATCAGGGACTGAACCCAGGTCCATGCGCTTGCTAGACAGGCACTTAGACAACCATGCTATCTCTCCAGGTTCTAGAAGGTAATTTTGGTTCACAGTATATGTGGCAGACTCACCTTTGTCTGGATTACATAGACAAAGACATAGATTATGTCGTAGATTACATAGATTATGTTGTAGTTTTGATTTCTTCCCTCATGTCACTGTAGTCACAGAGCACATGGCCTTCCTCGCTGTTGGTGTCCCCAGAGCCTGCTAAAGACAATGCTAAGGCCTGGCTGAATGCCAAGCAGTCTCTCATAACATAAGCCTTCCTAAGAAAGTCTGGCCAGGTCCTACTGTCCAGTTAATTGTTGACACGAGAAAAACATAAGGGGACCATTTACCTTGCAGGTGAAGAGCAAGGATTTGGGAATCAGCAAGGCTTGGGTTTAGATTTTATGCACTAAAATCAGTCCCTATACTGAGAGCTAGAAGCCACTTTGGTGATGAGATCCTCTCTGAGAGTCACACCCCCACATTTAAAATGAAGATAATAATAAGGTGAAGATGAAGTGATATCATTCATACAATGCACAATGTGCCTCTTATAAACAGTAGCTCAATAAAATTGCCGTTATCATTATATTGTTATACTGCAATACGGTCCTTCCCCAGAGCCAAGAGTTGTGAAGGGTGGAAGTAGCGAATAGAATTAACGTTGTTATGTCAGACCACAAGAAAATAGTACATTTTGTGATTGTTCAATCTCCTCCAGTTTCACAGCAACCTATCCTGTAAAGGGGGCTTAATCCTGGACAGCCAAGGAAGTGAAAATAAGTTGTTTACTTACCAAAAAAAAAGTAGAATCTGATTGAAAATTATGTAGCATTAGTTGAAAGAAATTGGAGACTTTTTATGATTTAATTCGAATAATAAATTCCATTGCCGGGTAAGAAGCCTTCAGAGGTAAATGATGTCTACTACAAATGACACGAGGAAATAGTTTTCTGAAGAGTTTTTCATAAACAAGGTACAAGTTCGTAACCTGCTACCTGGTTCCACGGGCGCACTTAACAGCGTCAGATTGCAGGGCAGGCTAACTTGGTGAGCTTTTGTTCTTACTCTAAGCTGGCTTTGGTTTTGGCAGTAGTATTCCAGAGGCCTCCAAGCCTCTGATCTAATCTTTTCTGTGCTGCAGGAGCAGTGGCCTAGAGCACTCCTCCACACAGCGCGGTCCCTGGGCCAGCACTGGCTCAGGGAAATGCTTTGTTACTGATCCATGCCATGATAAGTATAAAGATCGAGATTAAGCTTTCAGAAACTATTGAAGCAAAAAGATATTACTGTAACATGATCCGTGGGCTTGCATTTTCCATGTCTTCCTAATTTAATTTTTTGCTCATTCATTTTTATCCTAGTCTATGAAAGTATCAATCTGCAATAGATCAGGAATAAAATGTTCGTGACTGCTGGTAGTTTGAGAAACACTTCCGAGGGTCAATGAAGAAGCTGAGGTGAAGAGACAGAGAAAGGGCTGAGGACACAGGGCACATCTATGCTTTGAGAACGAGATAAGGGGCAGGTGGGGGCAAGGGTAGGGAAGGAAGTGTCTGCACATGGAGGCCAGTATGTGCAAGGACTTTTGCTCTTCCCACATCCTGAAGGAAGCACTTACTACGAATCAGGGATGCTTGACTTACGTTAGTCCAATCTTTTTTTTTTTTTTAATTGTTTTTTTTTT